TATCTTCCAATTTGACTTTTTAAAATAAGCATCTCTTTGGACTTCTCTGTCTTCTTCATCTCTTAAACTTCTTGTTACTATAAGCTGTCAATTCTTCCTTTCCAATAGTTATGAGATTCCACTCATATCATTCTAATCCCTCATTATTTCCACTTATTATGTTAACCTACAATTTTTTATTAGGCATCTATCATGTACCAGGCACTGTGTTAGTTAGGTATTGGAAATACAATGGTGAGCAAAGAGAGGTGAGATCTCTGCCCATACATTGTAGTGTAGAAGGAAGACATTAATGAGCACACACAAATGTAAAACTGCAGCTGTGACAAGTATTATGGGGGAAAAGGTATAAGGTGTCATAAGAGCCTAGAATAGATTGGTTTGACCTAGTTATGGAGGCTTCCTTGAAGAAGTGATGTATGAGTTGAGATCTTAAAGATGAATAGAAGTTAATGAGATGAAGAAAGTTGGGAAGAACATTCTAACTATAGCTAACAGTATATGCAGTGAGTGGCCTTATGATGGGAAAGAGAATACCAAGTGTTGGAGAACTGAAACCAGGATGATGGGCTGAAGACCAGAAAACAAGGGAGAAACTTCACACAAAGTGAGCCTGGAGGGATAGGTAGGGACCAAACTGTGCATAGCTCTATAGACTCTATTAAGAAAATTGTTTTTTTTTTAATTTTGTGAATAATGGACGGCCACTAAAGGGAGCACTGTGTGTGTGTGTGTGTGTGTGTGTGTGTGTAATTTGCATTACAAAAAATCATTCTGATTGTATTATGGAACAGATTGGAGGGGGCCCAAGAGGAGAGGCAGAGTCCTATTAGGAGGCTACTGTAGTAGTGCAGGTGAGTGATTGATGGTTTCTTCTTAAGGGCCATAAGTGATAGAGATGGAGAGAAACAGGTGGAGTCAAGAGATATTTAGGAGGTAAGATCCACAGGATAAGATTATGGGTTGGCTATGGCAGGTGAAAGAGAAAATGAAGGAGACAGAGGGAGAGGGTTTTGGATTGCATAACTGAAGTTTGATGGTGCCATTCACTGAAGGAATGCTGAAAGATAATCCAGTTTGGAGAGAAGATAGAGTTTAGTTGGGGCATATTGAGTTTGAGATGTTAATGATATATCCAAGTGATGATGTCAAGTAAGCAATTGGTTATATAACTGTGGAGCTCAGAATAGAGATCTGGTCTAAAGATTGAATTTTGAGATTCATATGTGTATAGGTGTCAATTGGAATACTGTGTGTGGAGAAATTATAGAGGGAAAGGGGAAGAGGTACTGGGACCAAGCCTTGAGGGACTCTAATAATAAATAACCAGGTAAAATAGGGTGAGTCTGCAAAGGAGAGGAATAGCCAGATAAGTAGGAGAAAATCCAACAGCATGTTATGTCATGGAAGTAAAAAAAAGTATTTAAAGAAGGATGGAGTGGGCAACATTGTCAAAAGTTGTTGAGAGGTCAAGTAAGATGAGGACTGAAAAAGTATTTATATATTTACTTGGAGCCAATTGGTGGCCTTAATGAATGCTGTTCCGTTGAATGATGATGACTGAAGCCAGGTTAGTGGGCTAAAGAATGGAGCAAGAAAAACAGACTCCTAGATACAGAGGACAGACTGACAGCTGTCAGAGGGGAGGAGGGCTGGGGGACTGGGTGAAATAGGTGAAGGGATTAAGAAAAACAAACAAACAAACAAAAAACCCCTCACGGACATAGACCAGTGATGGCGAACCTATGACACGAGTGTCAGAGGTGACACGCGAACTCATTTTTTTGGTTGATTTTTCTTTGTTAAATGGCATTTAAATATATAAAATAAATATCAAAAATATAAGTCTTTGTTTTACTATGGTTGCAAATATCAAAAAATTTCTATATGTGACATGGCACCAGAGTTAAGTTAGGGTTTTTCAAAATGCTGACACACCGAGCTCAAAAGGTTCTCCATCACTGACATAGACAATAGTATAGTGATTGCCAGAGGGAAGGTGGGTAGGAACAGATGGAAGAAGGTAAATGGGGGATAAGTGGTGATGGAAGAAGACTAGACTTTGGATGGTGAGCTCACAAAGCAAAGTGCAGATGATGTATTGTAGACTTCTACACTTGAAACTTATATAACTTATTGACCATGTAACTACAATAAATTCAATTTAAAACAAAAGAACAGGGCAGGAGAACTTAGAGTCAGACAGTAGAGATAAATTTTCTTTAAAGAAATTTGAATGTGATGGGGAAGACAGAGATAGGGCACTACCTGCAGAAGAATGTGGGATTTTTATATTTTATTTTAGGAGACTACAATGTTTTACATGAGGAGGGAAAGGCTCCTTAGGGGAAGGAGGGATAACTGCTGGTGTAAGGTTACTGAGACATTAGCGCAGCTAAATTTTTATCTGTTGACTTTATTTTTTCCTATGAAGTAAGAGGCATGATTATTTGATAAATATATGGTGTAGAATTTGAGAATGGGGAAGGTCATAAACAGCTAGTGTAGATAGTGGGAGCATAAATTGACCAGAGAAAAGTAGTAGGATGGCTGGACAGTGTGAAAAGTTTATTTGAGTTTGAGATGGCCATGAATTTATAGAAATACTATTTATCCTTTTATGTGTCTGTGTCAGCAGTGCTTGATTGCTCAAGTGCAGATATTAAGGCAATGGATAATTAGGCTGTCCCTGATTTGGTGGAAGTGAGGTGAGGAAGAGAACACTACCAGCCAGGCTCCTGAAGGGTCTCTTTGCCTTCAGTGTTTTCACATTCCTACCTATCCTGTATACTGCCACAAGAATTATTTTCCTTAAAGACTACTTTTTATCAACTCCTTTTTTTTGCTCAAGAACCTGCACCCTTCCAAACGGTGTAGTGAGTAAGAACACAGCTGATAGACCTTGGTTTGAACTCCTTGTGAACTCCAGCAATTCATGTAAACTTCTGACACTCCGTTTCTTCAATTCAAAATGGGGTTAATTGTAATATCTACCTTATAAGGTTATTAGGAGCATTAGATTAGATAGCATGTAGCACAGTGCTTGGCCTGTAATAAGTGCATGAAAGCTGCTATATTATATTCTCTTATCTGTTTATCCACCTTCCCCTTCAGGTTTAAGCCTAGTTTGAAATTCTCTCTCACCCCTATCCAACATACTTTCTCCCAGTTAGACTGATCTTTTCACTGCCTCCATATTCATTGTCATGTGCCTTGCCTGCTCTACCCAAACCTCATAACTTCTCAAAGGCCTGCATCTTCTAAATGAAAGCTTCCTCATTAGCTTGAAAACAGTGTTGCTCTCTCACTGCACTGATCTCCCATTGCACTTTTGGAACCTGATTAAATTCCATTGTTCACTTTATTATAAGCAGTTATTGTATTTACTGCTGGTGTAAGGTTACTGAGACATTAGGGCAGCTAAATTTTTATCTGTTGACTTTATTTTTTCCTATGAAGTAAGAGGCATGATTATTTGATAAATATATGGTGTAGAATTTGAGAATGGGGAAGGTCATAAACAGCTAGTGTAGATAGTGGGAGCATAAATTGACCAGAGAAAAGTAGTAGGATGGCTGGACAGTGTGAAAAGCTTATTATATTATTACTTTATTATATTTTTATTGTTTTGTTGAAAAATATTATTATACCAGGGTGAACAAAAGTATATTTACAGTTATAAACAGTAATTAATAAACAAATAATACAAGAATAAAGTGTTTTGTGTACTCATAACTGTAAATCTACTTTTGCTCACCTTATATTACTAAAATATTGTCTAAAATATTTTAGTAATATAAGACTTTTCCAATAAGAGTGTGAGCTTTTTGAGCCAAAGAATCATGCCATAAACTCTATGCATTTCTTACAGGACCTAGAATAGTATTCACAGTACTTGTTAAATTTAATTTACTTGAATTGAGACATAAGCCAGGTCCCAGTGACCTCTAGAGTACACAGACAATACATTACAGTACAGGAAGAAAATATTGTAAAACATCTATTTATACTTATATTCTTTGACAGTTGTTTTTGTGTATGTTTATAATGTATATTATACAAATTTATTATATATACATATATAGAGGATTGAAAAACATAAGTGGTGCATATTCAAGAAATTTTAATATTGGGGTTCAGATCAAAACATTTTTTCTATTGTCTTTAAATTAATAATAGAAATTTGATCCAGTCCAAAATAGCAAGCCTGTGGTGGGCACACGATATAATATACAGATCATGTATTACAGAAATCTACACTTGAAACCTATATAATTTTATTAACCCATGTCACCCTAATAAATTTAATAAAAATAAATAAAGAGAAAAATAAAATAGCAAACCTTTATTTGCCACAGTTAATTATGTTTTGGTCACTTACTCTTTGTCAGGTGCTATGCTAAATGTCTTACATGCATTAATTTCTCAAAACAATTTCATAAGGTAGGTATTATTATCTCACATTATATAGGAGGAAATTGAAGCACAGAGGGGTTAAGTAACTAGTCCAAGGCTATATAATGAGAAAGTGATGGGCCAGGATTTAAAACTACATCTATTTTAATCCAAAGCTTGTCCTATTTTTGAAGATTTTTAACTACACAATTCAATTTCTTTAATAGATACAAGACTATTCAAGTTATTTATTTCTTCTTAAGTAAGTTTTGATAACTTGTGTCTTTGAAAAAATGGTCCATTTTCCAAAGCTAATCCTCTCAATTAGTACGCTACTATAGCATGTACACCTCTTTCAGAAGTGCCTATGTTTTTTATGGAGACACTATGGAATAGACTTCTTACTTAACCAGGGCATTATGAGAACCATACAGAGATTTTAGAAAGTAGAAAGTCATCATAAGAAAAACCAAGTAATTGATTTTATTATATTTGATACTTAACTCCTTTTTAAAATATGAGAAAATATAGAGCTCTTTCTTAAAGAATGGTCTCTTAATTTGAAAGCTGAACCCAAAGTAACACATACTTTCTATCTTTTTCAGTTATTTCTGAAAATATGACAATTCAAGAAACAAGTACAATTCTTTCACAGCAAATAGATTTAACAACCCCATCCCAAATTACTGGACTAAAACCTCAAAATATTGTATATACTTCTACAATTATGTCTAAAGGCATACCTGTATTTAAAACTGATTATAAAACCATATCATATTCCAATACAACATCTCCACCTCTGGAAACAATGACTATACCAAAATTTTTAAAGACATCCATTTCTGAGACAGCTACATTCATAGCAGACATTTTGTCTACTTCAGCAGCTGTTGCTCTACCCACCAAGAATACTTCCACAGGCACTACTACCAATTCCATGAAAATAACTAAATCCCCATCTTCAGAGAACACAGTGACAACAAAAAGGGCTGGAACCATTTTTGAGACCTTTTATCCAACTACAGCTACTAATTTCTTATACACATCTGGATTTACCAAGAATTCAATTGTACCCAAAACTTCAGCGATTGGGTCTCCACTGGCCATTATGAAGACAGCATCTTTATGCTCATCTATTGAGTCAACATCCAAATCTACACCATCATGGCATAAACACAAATCCACAGGTATTGGAGCACTCCCTAGCTCCACAGCTAGCCAGGAGTTTCTTGCATCTACAGTTGCTGGAACTGTACCTTGGTCCACTGTGAAACAGACTTCTACTCACATTGGGACTGCATCAGCATTCCCACCTATGTCTGTGCTCATCTCCAAAGCTGCTCCAGTAGATACTGTATTTCCTAGAAATCAGGAAGCATCTACATTGGCAATGACTGATAAAAAAATATCATTTACAGTTCATTCAATGACACTTCCATCTAAGCCTATTGAGACGACTTCTGAGCTAAGAACAGTTGAAACAGAATTGACATCTACAAATTTCCAGGATGTCTCTTCACCCAGAATGGAAGATACAATATCTATCTCCATGCAAAAAGAGGCCTCTTCTATGGCCCTTTCTTTCAGGACATCCTCTTCATTAACCAGAGCTCAGAGTGTACAGACAAATATTGATACTGAGACCACACATACATCCTTGATTCCTGGAATCACACTTGCACCTGCAGCTGATGAAAGTATGCTTTCCCCCACAGTTACTGGGTCAGAATATACCAAGAATACATCCACAGATGGTGAAAATGTGTTTCCTTTTATCTCCACCAGATCAGCTTTCACATCCAGGGCATCTGAGTCTGGTCCCACACACAATAAGTGATGAAGGTGCCCATCTATTTACCAGTGAGATCAATTGGACTTCAGACCAGACCAAACTCTGTTGACGTCAATATCCATGGGAATATTCTAATACAGAACATTCATCCACAACTGCTGATGTTGATAAACCTCCAGAAGCATCCATAGAAAGTGAGGCTACCACTACCGCTGATGCTATTATTAATACTGATACCATAATAGACAGATATACAACAGCTCTATCCAACTTGACATCTCCATGTTTGGCTAATTTCTCCATAGTTTCTAGAACCACATCTATAAACAAACTGCCTGAGTTTAAACTTACCACCTTATTACTAAGAGCCACCCCTAGGTCCACAGTAGCTGGAAATCAACTTCTTTCAACATCAAAGGAAACAGTTTTTCCACCAGTAGATATAATATCTACCCTTGCTGACACTGAACTAGATTTTTCTACTGAGAGTGCTTCTGAGACTACACAAACAGAGGTAAAAAATAGAATTGCATTTGGAGAGACAACAATCCCTGTACCGGAGTCCGCAACAACACAAAGATTCAATGCTTCTGTGACAAGGAAAGAAACAACTTCCCATTATCTTAAGGGAAGATCAACTATAGCAGCAACAACAGAGGTTTCTCCATTTGCAACAATGCAGGAAGCAAGGGATGAGTCTATACAAATGGTGACAGCTTCTGTCATTGTTTCCCCTTTTCCTGATTTAGAAAAGTCGACTTCCCCATTGGATAATAAAACTGCAACTACTGAGGTGAGAGGAAGATGCCTTTCACCAAAATCAGTTAAAACCACACCTGAGACTTCCTACAATGGATCTACAGAAATCTTTAATTCCACCCACACATACACAGAAGAGTGGACTTCAGAGACTCCACCTGAAGGTAATCCAACTCCATATCCCACTTCTGGGAGCACAAAGGCATTCCCTGAACCCCTGGTTGCTTCTACCATAAGAATATTGGAAACCAGTTTTGCCACTATTCCTACAGAGAGGACAGCTATGTCCTTGTCTACTGGTATGTTTCCTCCACAACCTACAACTACCCATTCCTTAACAACCCCTGTGCCTATTATCCATATGTACTCACTGCCAGTTAATGCCTCTGCTGTCACCTCTATGGTGATGTCTGAAGAGACTAAGGTTACCATGTCTGAGCCTTCTGCACTGGACAGGGCTTCCTCCACATCTGCACTCTCAGATGTCTCACCTCTGTCATCAGCTATACTGACTACAGCATCGGTGCCACCAGTGGATCAGACTGCTTCCACAACCAGCGATATTGTGACACCTAAAGCAATTTCCTTTCTGACAGAAACTACAATCTCCTCATTGAGACCTACCAGTCCTTTGGCAACTAAGGCTGAGACCACTTTTCTGTCCACCTCAGCTGACAGAGTAACTTCATCCACACCCACTCTTGCCTGCTCTAAATATCTCCCTGACAATATTTCTGTTGTGACCTCCACTCATATGATCTCAACAATGTCTATACCAGTAGCAACCCAGTCCACATCTCAAGTAGAGGATGCTTCCACCCATGCTCTCAGCTTCCCGAATACTTTCAATGGCAGTGGAGATGTCGTTAGCCTGATTACTGCCACCACAGAAAATTATGTTATTGATGAGACCAGGCCCTCTGCCAACGAGCTTACTACCTCAGGTGGTCAGATTTCTCAGTTTTCCACAGGTCTTGCAAACATACTGGTCCCCACTCTATCAGTGACTCATATTTCTACCTTAACTTCTGACAAAGAGCAGATTATCACCTCCCTAGGAAAAACCCTTGGAACTATGGAGGTGACAGAGATATCCCCATCAAATAATCCTTTTATTTCAGAGTCTCAGAGTTCTTCATCCTTGGAAATGACAGATACAGGATTCGCTGAGACCACAAAAATTTCCAGTCATCAAACACATTCACCTTCAGAGATTTCACTTGTAACTCCCCGTGATGGAATTTCAGCTTCATCTCCTACATCTGGGCATACACAGACTATACCTACCACCTGGATCTCAAGTAACACCGATGTTCACATTTCAGAAATGTCTACCAGTCTTGGGAAAACAGCTTTCCCTTCAAAAGCTCTGACAATTACCACATTTTTGTCTCCTGACAAAGAAAGCGTAAGTGCCCTCTCAATATATACTTGCAGGACTGAGAAAATGACAGTAAGAACCACCTCTGTGACTCAACCTTTCTCATACCACCAGAACACTTCATTTGTAGATGCCATATCTTCCAGGACAACCAGAATATCAAATCCTAAAAACATCAACACAACTCTTTCACACTTGCTTTCACCCCAGACTCAACCTGAGGTGACATCAGTTGCCTCTCCCATTTCTGAAAGCACACAGACCTCCCCAGAGTCCCTGTCTTTTTCCATAACTGGACTGTCTAGTGCCAATTTTACAATTATTTCTACTGACAGGGTCACTATAGCCCTTTCTGCTCCAAGTGTAACTACCGCACTTCTTGGGAAAACATCTATGGCAACGTCCATTCCTATCTACCAGATGTCTTCACTGCCAGTTACTGCCTTCACCTCCAGAAGAGTTTCTGACACTCCTACAATACTAATGACCAAATATTCTAAAATAACACATGCAGATTGTTTGAAAAGACACTCTATAGCTACTTCTGGATGTGGGTCTGAGATTTCCTCAGTGTCAGTTCATGACTCTGCTTTTTTC